AGTGTTGCAAATTCACCATGAACTAACCATGATCGTTTCCAAGAAGACCACGTGATCATTTTATACATTCATGTAAAGTTTCATTAAATGGATCCATTTAGGCGTTCAATCTTGAAAAAAATATAAACAGATATACTGACATATTTTTACATTTATAATATTAGTATCGGGGCCTGGAGAAGGGGTGTAACTCACCCTGTCATCTTCATTCTGATATCATCATCGTCCACAGCATATACTGTTAACATAAGCTGTGCCAGAGATCAGTGTCAGTGTATGAAACGTCAACCATTTGAGAAAATGGTTGGATGGACGGTAGCAATATCCTTGGTAATTTGGAGTAGAGAACTTTGGACTTCATTTTTAATTTTATAGATATATATAATCTTATATGTATAATATAACACTTAATTCTTTATATGTATAATTAATTTCATTTTATATATTCATTATATTATTAAAATTTATTTCATCATCATCATCATCGCAGCCCGGAAGACGTCCACTGCTGGATATAGGCCTCCCCCGATCGACGATCGGTCCTGCGCTGCTCGCATCCAATGCTTCCAGCAATCTTGACCAGATCGTCGGTCTACCTTGCTGGAGGCCTTCCCACGTACCATTAAAATTTATTTATTTTTATAAATAGCTATTAGTGCCATCTATGTGTTTGTTGCTGAAACTGTTTAAGTAATGCGCCATCTATTGGATTTCTCATGCACTTATAAGAAATAATCGATCAAAACTAGATACCATCTTTGGTGCGTCTTATTAGATATTTTGATTAATGCTCGAAATATATGGAGTGGCAACGAATCGATTTTATTTATAATAAATCAGGTTATTATTGCCATTATAATAAAATTACAAGTAACTGACTACGATGGTTTCCAGAGGGACCATGTGGAGGTTGACCTCAGAAGGCACATTGCAAGCAAGTCACTAGTATCAATAGTATCAATAGTAGTACTTAAACCTCTGTCGTCACTACAGATTGCTTAGTAACTACATAACATGGTGAAAAATAATATTGAGATTTTAAAATATTGCTTTTTTTAGATGATAATGGAATGAAGCACCAGCCTGAGCTAACGGTTTATGCTGGCGGGGCACCAGTGGAGGATGATGAGATAAGCATGAGGTTAGATCAGTTTGCCCATTGTGATGAAATAACCAGAAATTAACCACGATGGTTTCCAGGAGGAGCTGCGTAGAGGTCGGCCTAACATGGTATCTACATTGCTAGCAATGGGGACCTAGACCCGATTACTTACAATCCCCTTTCCCCCATTGTAATGTGTATTAATTATACATATAAAAACTTTAAAGAGTTTAAGTATATAATAAATATATTTTTAGTTTATATTTTTTCATCATTCACTGCAATATTTTATTTACTGCGGTTATAACCCAATACATATAGTCCTATAATTATTTAGAAATATCTATGTCTTAACTAATATAGGTATGTTTATTACTAAAAAAAAATTATCTTTTAAGTGAATGCTACAAACATTTATCTATATTAATGCATTAAATATAAACAACAATATATATTCTATTAATATATTTCAATTAATAGTATATCTTAAATATATTCAAAATATATTCTAATTGTCCAAATAGATCTAATTAGAATATTAAACTGTTATATTTTAACACTTTCTGTTACGTGGAACAGTTATTTTTCCAAAGTTGTTTGCTACTCATCAATAGATGGCGCTGGAGGTTCGTATAATTTTAGTTACATTAATGGCGGGAATAGACTATTTCAATTTTAGCAATAGTGCTTACAGATATATTTGAGTAATAATTATATAGTAAATAATAAAAATTTATTATGTTCTGAAAATATACTAATAAGTATTTTTAGTTAATTTACAAATTTACAGTACAGCAAGTTAATCTGTCGTAGCGTATATAGTGTAGACCAGAATTTATTTAGTTTTTTTTTTCTAAATAAATTACCTTCTTTTTGTTAAAAAAGTGCTATGTAAAGTGGGTATTTTTTTTATTGTAATTATTATATAATTTCTAATTTTGTTATAAACAGTGGTACGTAATGTGGATAACTATCAACTTTTCGAGGAATATTAGTAGGTAAGTAGACAATCATTTTAGATTTTTGATAACATTCCCTTGGTTAACGTTTATTTTGTATTTATACTGTAGAGTCTTTACAGTTGAACCACATTTTTTGATAATTGAATCATGCATATTATCAAATTGTTAAATTAAACAAAAACGGCAAACGGAAATGTTCCACTTTATGATACAGTGAGTGTTTTGTATCGATATAAGTATCTAGAGATATTCAATAGTTGCAACAAACGATGACGGACGTGAAGGTAGACGAATATATATCATCATCATATAATCATCTTATAATCTACCATTTACCTACCAGCTGCTCACCAGTTCAGCCGTGATGACAACAGCTGCACCACTGCCGAAGTATATTTCATCTGTATTGGCTTTTATTTTTTATTTAATTTCACCTAGATCCAGCGGTCTAGGTTATTTTCAGAGATAAATGATAAAGTATGTTTTTGCGATGTAATTTGTCTTCATATAAAATTCTAATAAGATTCGTCTGTCTATTTATTACCTTACGAATACGACTTATTGTATTCGTAAAGTAATAAATAGACAGTCAGGCACGTTTATAATAATTATTGATTAATATAATAATAATAATGATCTTGTACAATTAACACAGCGCCATCTATATCCAAATAGTTAAATACAGTTTTTTTATAAAATCAGTCCAGCCGTTTCAGAGATTAGCAAGAAAAGGCAGATAGATAAAAATATTTAAAATTAATATTGATGTTTGTACTTTATATATATTTACATTTAGTGAAAAGCTGTTGATTTGAAATTACAAGTAAATATTGTAATTTTATTTGTCATATTTATTGAAATATTCATTATCTTTACCTTGGTACGCAACTGCACATTGCAATATGAAAGATTATTGAACGTACGTTATGTTACGGTACATTTTCAGTCCAGGATTGTTTGCAGTACCATTACTAATGCGTGATATGGATATTAAGTTAAAATATTCTGTAATTTTATATGTATTTAATGTATACATATATCATATCATTGGTATTTTTGCTATTATTATTATATATAGTATGAAGGAGATATAAGCAGAATACCAACGTAGGTATAGGTCCAGTATATTCCACATCGAGGTGTTACTCACCTCATCATGGCATATGCTATTTTTTAATTTCTAAATTCAGTTTTGTAATTGTCTTACGGATACACGTCGGTTTTGAAGATCTTTACTTCTTTTCAGGTGACATACGATTCATTTTGACGGTCTATACCACATAGACCGTCAAGATGTCTATGTGGTCTAGCGTTTAAGCACATCGCTTTACTTACAATGGCCGAGGGTTCAAGTGTTGCAAACATGGTCAGTAGTCATCAGTATTGTTTATATTGTTTTGAGTATTTGCTGTTTGTTTTATGTATGTATTTACAAAAAAATATATCTAAATATTTATATAAGTTGTCTAGTTACCCTTGATCAATGGGTTTGGTAATTTGAATATAAAATAAATATAAATATTTTGTAGCATATAATTTTTTTTGTAATGGCAACATCAGACATTTAAAAAGTTTCATTCAAACTAATTTGTTATCCGTTTCTGTTTCTAACTGTTAAGCCTTGTACTCCTGTAAATTACTTATAATATATACAGTCCAATCAAAATTAAAGCGTATGTTGTTTTCATAATCCAACACCCATAACACTAAGCAGCAGCTCTGCTTAACTGGCTGACATTATTTGAATTTTTTTATAACTTTAATGCACACAGTACAAAAGCAACAGTATATTTGGCGGACTTAACACCATACAGTATTTTCTACCAGTCAACCATAAGTAGTACAGACAAAAATTGTCGGCGGTGCAAAAATAATCATAAATCCTGATTTATCCTGGAGTATTATTATTATCTGGTCATGATAAGCCAGTAGATGTCTTTTACAGTACCCGCATCTATCTATATATATTCGCGTCGTATCACTTCTCTTAGTATTATCTAGTAATTTATTATCTTATACCAAAATAAAATTCTTGTAGCACAATGTTAGTTACCATACTCCAACGAAACGGCTTGAGCAATTTTTATGAAATATATACGCATGAATATGCATATTCAGTAGGTCTGAGAATTGGCTACTATCTATTTTTCATACCCCTAAGTGATAAAAATAAAAAAAAACATTAGGGGTAGACCTAATGTTTTTTTTATTTTTTGGACAACATTTTATTTTATTTTATAATTTAGCTTTAAATAATACATACAACCCTAAATTTTCACTCTTCTACCATAATGCCCTATTTTTTTAGTTAGCATGGCTAAATATGCTAATACAACGTTTTACAACTAGTTCTTTATATTTTATGTTATACACATACATATATACATTTTCGTAAACGTGTCGTAACACGAATAATTTTATTGTAAATTAGGTGGGCCTACCTAGACTCCATAGCTCTTGAGTTCAAATCTGCCCGACACCAAATAGAAAACTGTTTCTGTCAATTTATATTTCTGTTTGACTTTTCGGTGATGTAAACATCGATAACAAACCCAAATTAATCGGTGAGAATGGTTCACGCCTTGCCAGTTGTATTCCAAAATACCGCCAAAAGTGGACATGTGAAGTGTTATTGTTCACTTCGGCTGTTTATAATATCTCTGCTTACCCTACCTTAGGTAAGTCGTGAAGATATATTATTAATATAGTGTATAGGTATATAATTAATGAATGGTTATTAAAACAACATAGTTGATTAACAAATCGTGGATATTTATTGAAATAAAAATAATAAAAATGAAAAATAATAAAAACAGTTCATCTTTCACAATAGTTACACGATAAAATTTGTCTTAGTATTTGTTTCGCTATTTTGTCTGTCCATTTGTCGTCCTTTCTTACGTATTTATAATGTCCAGGGCCAACCGGGACGAATACTGTATGTACAATCAAAAACAAAGTGTCTATAATTTATAACAATATTGCCTATTTTTAAATAAATTACGTAAATAATATAATGTCAATTTTGTTACCAACTCTCTTCTTAATTGTACATTTCCTCTTCAATAATCCTTAACAGTTTTCGATTGATATGATTTATGTACACAGACGTACAAATAAACTATGATTTAATTACAGCAATATTTTTTTTCATACCAAAAAGTCATTTCAATGATAAATTAATGACTTTTTGATCCTGAAAACGTTTGCAAGCAGGACAAAAATATTGAGCATGAGAATTTTACAACTTTAGGTCTTATCCAAACGACATAAGGGCCATTTTTATTTGGACTAAACGAATGGCCAGTATACACCGTCCGAAGAAGTCCTAAATAATTAAAAATCAAAGAGAATTCATGAGGAGACTCGATGGACGACAAGATGTTTCTATTATAATTTACTTATATTTATCTAATATAAATTCTATTATAATTTACATTAAGTACGTATACTGAAAGATTTCACGATTGGACTAAAATTTAGGTACAAGTGAAATACTTCTTCCACGAATCAAGAATCACAAATAAAACAAATTTAAAAACAAAACTGGAATAATGTTCAGTCTTAAAAAATAACTAGCTCCCTTTTGTCAGAATTAAAGGACAGAATGAAGATCGAATGCCTCACAAGATATTTAATTTAATAATTTAAATTCTAATTAATATAGAAATACCTCATTACGAATAACACCTACCCTTATCGATTCCAATTTTGCTTTCTAGGATGCTTAATTATCGATTACAGGAAACTCACCGTTTTTTTAATGCTTTTTTGTATTCTCCATTTAATAAATTTGAAACACAGTGTCTATAAATATGAACATCAATAGGTAGGTACTCAATTTACACATTACACTTACATCAATTTATTTACACAAGTTATTTATCTAAGATAGGAAACATTTTCGCTTATTATTGTACATTAATATCCTAAAATTACGAAACAACTTACAGCTATACACATACTACACGAAACTATGAAGATCCTAGAAAATACTGGAAAAAATCTAACTTTTTTTTAATTGACACTATACAACTTAATAACTAAAATCGCGTTAAATCAACATAGCTAACTTTGGCATTGGTTTCCATATTTTTTTCTATAAATAAAAACATGTCAAAACAATATCGAAATAGTAACGCAAATATCGTAAACGAGAGGAATCATCGCAGCCTCCGAAACAAAAACCTTGCAGACTAACATCAACAATGTAACGGGAACAACACTGGTTCAGTACACGAAAGATATGTTATATTTTGTAATAAAATAATGCCCTTCGGTGGTAACCCTTTGGGCTCATATTGCAATGGTCGATAAATAATACGCCAACTTATTAAACCCTTAAGACTAGAAGTTGAACAAAGTCGACCAGGTTTCCCGCGACGCAACTCGCGATTTGTCGCGAGGGTACAACGAAACTAAACTAAAGAGTTAGGCCTTAAAATATCTGGCTGGGCGGCGGTGGTGGTGGCAGCCGAAGGCCACCCCACGGGTAGAGTCACGACGCCTCCTCACGGCACGCATTAGAGTCATCAGATAATGCTAAAGGAGCACCATTACTTTGATTCACAACACACTTACGCATGTGCTTCTCAAGTGTCGAGGGCACAGAGAACGGCATTTCACAAAACCTGCAACGGTACACGTCCTTTCCAAGCCGGCCGTGGGTCTTCATATGCCTCGTCAACTTGGAACTTTGGGCGCAAGCGTACGAGCATAATTCACATTTATAGGGTTTCTCGCCGGTGTGAGAACGTCGGTGTACTGTCAAGTTTGAGCAGTTCTTAAAGACTTTACCACAGAACTCGCATGTGTCATTACGACGGCCATCTTTTGATTTTAATAAAGGGTTTTGCAGTAACCCGTTACTACTATTCTTAAGCCCATCGAAGATATTGTCTGGTGGTCTTTGTGCATGAAGCGTTGGTAGCCACCAACCTTCTCCTCTGTCCATTTCTAATTTCATCCGTTTCGACGCCTCAAACGGGTTTTCAAAAGGGTTAAAGAGAGGATGCGGTTGAGGTGGCATCTTAGCGAACTCTTCTTTTAACCGTAGAGCAGCAGTTGGTGGCATACCATTAGGTTTGTCGTTTGGCGGGCCATTGTTATTATCGCGATCCTTTGCCAATTGCCATTTTAATGAATTCCCTGATTCTTGCAAGGCCTGTTTGAAAGCTTCACTATATTGAGCAATGTTTGATAACCCAAATTTGTCCATGAGCTCACCTACAACAGACGCAGTGGGAGGATGAGCTGGAGTAATAGATGTTTGTTTACGCGGAGGAGCAGATGGAGCACTGCTGTTTGATACTGTTAAATCTTCCGCTTCTTCTACATCTTCTCCGTCTTCATTTTCCTCTTCCTCTTCTCCGTCCAATTCCTCATCATCTAAATCTTCATCTGAGTCATCTTCTGCAGTATCACCACCCGAGTCTCCGTCTTCCGTGTTGCCATCGGGCGGTCTATGAACTTTCATGTGCCTTTTCAATTTAGAAGCTTTGTCGAAGCATTCATCACATTCACTACATTTGAAAGGTTTCTCACCGGTGTGAGATCGGCGATGTACGACAAGATTATTTTCAAATCGAAATTTCTTTCCGCAAAACTCACAGGAATGCACGGCATCTTCGCTATTTCTTTTAGCAGGTGGTGTCGAAGATCTTCGTTCGGGAGGCGGTGCATCAGCCACTATTGGCTCAATACGACGTTCTGGTGACGTCGAACTGTGAGGCCTCGTCGCTTCACGAGGCGTGTCCACCGTTCCGGGTCCGGCGCCCGCCGGTGGAGTCTGACCGACTCGGGAGGGCGACGGGGAAGCGAACGGAGGAGAATGCTTCCTGGGGCTAGGAGAGCTCGAATTGCCTGTGGCCGCCCCTGGACTGGTCGTACCGGCCAGTTGCCGCAAGCGCTGCGAGTAAAAATCCAGCTGGGGTTCTAAAGAAAGGGGTTGTGATACTGGTGGGGGCCTCTCTCGTCCCGACATAGATGTTGGAACGACAGGCGGCCGGTCAGCTGGTGAAGGGAATGCTTGATGTGGTGGTAGGGAGTTAGCCGCTACCGCAGCCGCTGCGGCTGCTAAGTTGAGGCCATGATGACGGAACTGCTCTGAGACAAGTTGCTCCATCCTGAATCGGTGGTCGTGATGATTCGGCCGTGCAAATAGCGGCGCTGGTGGCACAGACGGATGTGCTAATGGAGGTAAGCTTCCTGGTAGAGGCATCCTTAGTAAACCTCCTACTCCGAACGGCGAATGCATGTCGGGAGGTGGCAGTAAGGGGTGATGACGTAACGTCGGCGGTGGCAATGGTGCTCCCGTGGATGAGCAGCCCGAACTGGTCGACGAGGTGCTCGAGGTGGAATGATTTTGCTTATTGCTCTGCGGCTGCGGCAGGGTTTCCATGTAGATTTTTACTCCATGTACATGCTGCACGTGTTGGAGTAACCGCCACGCAGAATGCACTTTCGTTTTGCACGTCGAACACACGTAGTTACTCGGCTCTGTGGACAAATGATGGCCATATTAGTTTCGAGCGGCAAATAAACTATTAAGGAGTACACGCAGATGCAATCGCTTTCCGATGGGTGATTTACAGTAATATTAACACTGGCAAAGTGTCTAGTAATAGCTCTCACATATCGTAGTGTTGGGCCTAGGGTGTGCGCGCGGTCCGCATGCTAAGTAGGCGAAGGTCCAAGGGTTCCGTACGTCGAGAGCTGTGAGTGATCGCCCCTCCGTGTCCCGCGTGATTCATGCACCTCTAAAATCTTATGAAATATACGCGGGCCGGAATCACGTACACGCTCGGGTTAAGACTGTTGATATTGAAATCTATGTATGTAACACTATCCTAGTAAGGGAAAAATAAATGGTGATATTATTTCTCGTGGCATATCACTGGTCTGATAGATCTTCTATTTTTAAAATAATACGATAAGATTTATACGTTTATTTTTAATTGTTATTTTCAAATTTAGAATATCAATTCATAACGTATTATTAGTGTCGTCGGTAGATTTATTCAAAATTTAAATATCGACTTAAATACTCATTATTTGAATTGAAATAATTCTAATAAGTTTTTATTATTGTTATAATTTTCAAAAACGTCTATTCAGATATTGAATTAATTGTACATGAACGTATGGACAGTCTAAACAAAAATTATTTTACATAAATACTCATTTGTTATCGCACTCGCAATAAATTGTAGTATAATAACGAATCGTACTTTTTATTTTACATTTAGGTGAAGGTAATATGTAGATAACTTTACTGCAATTAAGGTTACATTTTTTCTCGTAATTTGTATTTATTTATATTATATATCTCAGTATCATATCATTTCTTGTTATTATAACATAGAAGCAATATATTATTTTTATATATAATATATTGTAAGCTAATAACCCAGACACAACAATATTTTTTATTACGTACCTACTATGTTACATGGTCATATGCCGATTCGAACCCGCGCCCTTAAGTTTGACAGTGATTTGATTGCTCATTGTGATCTCGAGCCACATTTTATTTTGAAGACAATCGCTTCTTAGTCAACTAATAGTGATGTAATAGTATAATATTCGATTATCGATAAACCGATTGCAACTAGGCAATTTAGTTAGAGAAGCGTAACGTTCGTAGCAATATTATTAAAAGGCCAATTGATAATATTGCAATTTCTTCACAACGTTGCTAAATCCCTGCTTTGAAATGAGAACGTCATAAAAGTCGCAGAGGGACTATGGATGTATTATAGGTCAAAGACACGAACATTCTGCGTGGGATGGACTCAACTTGACTATTAATAGTAGGAAAAATTCATACTAATATTTAGACGCGGTAAGTTGTCTGTAATTGTTTCGTTGTAATTTATTACTAATTACTATAGATTAAGATTAAAATAACAAAAATGAAAAATTTGGAAATATATAGAATATTATTAATGTAAATTATATTATGTGAACGGACATAGGCTATCTTATATCTAAAACAGATGAAGTCGTGGCTGACAGTCTTATGTACTTTATAAATTTTTATTTACTAGAAAAATATAATAAAATAAATCTATAACAGTATTTAGTCGATAAAAATTACGATTTGAATTCCTTGTTTCCATTTCTAAATTCGCTAGACACGGCCATGTTTAAAAAGCAAATTCATCGATATTTATGTTCACTTAGTTATATACACATCACTAAAGATAGTAGGCGCGGCACGATAAGCGATCTCGACTGTTAAGACGATTATTGAATTGTAACGGTCAGATTGTGACCGACCGGAAAAAACATATATACAGCATGTTCAGATATGTAGCTTTAATATAGTTGAACAAATTTTTATGGACTAGTTTATATATAGATTTACCATGATTACTTGACAAATATATATTACATAAGCAGAAGTAACTGAAGTTGCCTTCAATAATGTCTTTAGTTACAACTGTATTTAAACAGAATATTATGTTTCTGTTTCTATTTTACATAACATTTTTCCTATCAATCAGTATAAATATTAATATTAATAAATTAAAAATTTTGATTAATCAAGTATTAGTGATAGATTAATTAGTCAATATATATCTTAATACTTCTACTTAGAAGTGCTCTTTAAAAAAACTAAGCAATATGACATATTTAACCAACAAGAATTCCTTTCCTTTCTTAATCCGATTAAACCTACAAATATCAATATTTAATACATATACAGACGTTAATGTAAAAGAGAGAGAAATAATAATGACAGTAAGTATTTAGTTCAATTTTCACAACGGAATCATTTTTACTTAACTAGTTTTGTGAACAGCCTGTATAAACATTTATCGTGGTATCAATATTGTGACCTTTTTGTCCAGACATTGTTCATTGTGTTGCGTTTTGGTCATCGTGTTCTTAGTATGGTCAGTACAAAAACATATTAATTTTTATTAATATTAAAAATTTTAACAAAACAATAGCAATTCTTTTTGAATATTTTTATAGCACTACCTGTTACCCGCGAATTCGTCTGCTTATTTTAAACAAAAGATAGCATATGTTCATCTTCTTGATACAATGACTCATAGATGCATTGTACATATTGTCAATTATATAAATTTTAAAGACAAATTTCATTAAGGCGTTGAGTAGTAAAAAACAGTCAGACAAATTTTATGTTCATAACATTACATAGGTTTAATTTTGATATGCATGCAATAAATATTTAATAAGAGTTCTTTGAAAAAACGGAGAAAGTGAATCTTTTTTGCACACCGTACATAACACGTAAGTAGGGTCAACAGCGAACACGGTAGCGGGACCCAACAGTCCGATTGATACCGGATTATACCGATTGCTGGCCACATGTAATTTGAATCGATAAGATCGGTATATGTTATAATCGACTACTACCGATAATTAAACCGTGTTGCTAGTGGGATGTTAGTTGGGTGGTCGGCTTAAACGGTAACGCTTTTTTTTATAGTAAGCATTTGTAAATGTTTAATGCAGTAAATTTTATGCGCTAAGTTAATTATATTTGTCAATCATGTATCAAACTATCATACTGCAATAATAGATCGAAAATTGTTTCTAATTACTATAATTTTTGTTGCCATTTTTGTGATGCGTTTTTTTTACTCGTATATTTATTTTATTGTCAGCTAGTCTCCAGATAAGCAGAGCTTGTGTTATGGACACAAAACAACTAATACAAATACTTCGAATGTTTTTTATAAATACATATATAATGTACATAGAAAACACCCTGATCATACAAACAAACATGCTCAAGAATACAAATTTTTGCGCCGTGCGAGGCGAGGCGAGATTCGTACCCGCAACCATGGGAACTAAAGCGGTGTGCTAAACCATTGACCATCGATAATATATTTATTTATCGAATTAATTCTTCGTTATTTTTAATCGATATAATAGGTTTTGATTATTTTTATTTTATCATTTGCAACTCTAAAAATATTTGAATTTCGAATTGTGTATTCCAAATTTAAAGTTCCAGATACAGGATGTAGCCAACAAAAAGTTTAACAACCGTTTCGATTTCAAAGGCAATTGCTGATTACCGGCCATTGTGTGGGCAGCCAGTGGGGGTGAAATTTTTAACCACCACCCGTCTGAACCCCACCCCTTGGGGGGAGCGTTTAGCCCAACCGGGAGGGCACATCCGGGTATGGCCTGGACAGCAATGGTATATACTAATAGGTTGTTTTGGTGGGTTGACGATTTAGTTTTTTTAACCGACTGTGGAAAGGAGACATGCTGCTCCAACCTCAAATAATGATATCTGATGATGAAGATAGAATTTCAACTTACTAGAGGTATAATATAATATTGTAGATAAGTAATTACCAACATGAAGACATTAAGTAATTCGTTGTTATTTTTTATTACACTGAACTTGTATTGAACAAACTTTTCCAAAGTGACTATAGATATTCTCGATTCTCATTGTAAAAGTTGTAGTAATAATTAATGAAGCTATTTTATGATTTCATAGATACTATTGTTCTGCCCTGGCTTCACACGAATTCAATTACTGTATGATTCTATTTCTATTTGAAACAAATTAAGTAACGTTCTGTATGTGAGAATATATCGATATCGAAAATATTTTCGAGATTATCGTTTACAAACAGACATATAAAATGTTTATTTCTATAATAATATATATTTAATATTATTTTTTTATTGCAGTTAACATGAAAATGAGTTTGCTGAAACAGAAAACAAGTTCGTGCAATACAGTCTGTGGGGCGGAACTCGACGGCGCTGTTTCCGGTGAGTTCAGCGCCTCTGGCGGACACCGCACAACACTATACTATATCTACCATAGACATCCATAGTGAGGATAATACTGTGACTACTTTTCTCATCTATTTTTTTTTATATTCCTTTAAACCCTTTCAGTTACAGTTACTTAAACCCCTAATAACAATTACTTAAACTGTAAATATTAGTTGTATGTAAAGAAAACGATGGTCTGTAAAGCTGACCATGTAAAAAGTGTAGAAATATGTTTTTTTTATATATATACATATATAACAAAATACAATATATATATAAAATATGCTTTATAATATGCAATATTTATTACCTATTTATTACTTCATTGTATGTATTGTTGTATAGATTAGACTATTTAGATTTTTGTGACACAAACTTCACGTCAAACATTAGGTAAAGTCTGTTTAGTCGATAAAAGTAACAAACAGATAGATACACACTTTCGCATTTATAACATTAGCAATTCAACTCTAGCAAAATTAAGCAGGTACTTGATACGTAATCAAATCAAGAAGTAAGTGAATGAGAGATAAACTTTGAAAATTGAAATAGTATCTCAAAACCGAACAAGATATGGTTTTATACTTATTTAATTATTATAATAAATAAAATTATATTGGTATTAAAAATTTATTTTTGTTAAACATATATTTATTCTATGTTATAAACGTTAAGTAAAGTTAAGTATTAACTTAGTAGCTATTTCTTGTTACAGA